CAACGTCCTGCCATCTACCGGAGACAGTTTTCCTTTTATGTTAATGCAACTACATTATAATATCCACTTTATATTTATTCCACCTTATAATTTGTTACCAAGAAAATATACCGTAGATTTACACTGCTTCTCTGGTGATGGACACGGGGGAGTCCATCACCGGCGACTGAGGGTTGCCTCCCCCCCGAGAGGGAGCTGCCTCGGCAGCTGGCGCAGGCGGGGCCACGGACGAGAGCGAAAGCGTGCCGGTGGTCCCGTCCCGATGCGTTGGAGGAACAGAGGGGTTTAGTGGGAATGCCTCCGCTATGGAGGAGAATCCCACATAACTACCGCGTCCCCCCCCCACCCCGGGGCGCGGAGTATGCATACATTCCCCCTCTGAAAAAAAAAGGTTTACACTGCTTATAATAAAAACATAATATGATAATGTACACAATTATTATCTAATTATCAAAAAAGTATAACGTTATGTATTGCTTATACTGGTTATATTTAAGATACTGGCTGTCACCTGCGACTCCGTCTATAGCCTATGTATTCTTCCAGACTATATTCTACATGTGTGCCAAATTTCAACAAAATCCGTGCAGCCGTTCCAGAGATACCTTCGTACAAACATCCATGCAGCTATCCAAGCATTCGCTTTTATAATATTAGAAAAATTAAAAGTAAGATGAAAAAAATCGCCTCGCGAGAGACAAAATAAAATATGGAAAATCTTCAGAAGATGAAGAAAAATCCGTTCTGGGTACCTTCTCTAAACATCCATCTAAACATTCGCATTCGTAATATTAGTAAGATAAATTATTAAAACTAAAATATTCTCATCAAAGTTGTTGGCAGTAAAATGTTAAGTTTCTTGATAAAATTAAAGCATTTACAGTTAAGTTTTAGTTTAATTTATGAGGCAACTCCGTGCACTGCTCAGTCAGTTCACTATCAAAGTTCACACCAAAAGAGAAAAGTTTTTGCCAAAGAAGTTTTAAGACGAGCAAAGGAATCTATTCTCTTGTGAAATATTAAATAACAAGATTCAATTAACTTGCATAAAATATACAAAGAAAAAAGTTAACACTGCATAATATTTTACTTTATTAATGTGATAGCGTCGATGGCTCAGGGGTTAAGGAATTGACTTGTAATCTGCAGGTCCTGGGTTCGAAGCCCGTCTCATACCACTGTGTTTTTCTTATTTACATATGTACATTAATCCGACGTTTCTTACGTTGAAGGAAGACATCGTGTTGCAACCAGCACATATCGGCAAAGAAATTTGAAATATGCGAATTCTCGATAACAAAACGCGGCGACGCGACTCGCCACCCTTCACTTTCCCTCTCCCGAAATGAGGAAAAATGGATTGTGGAGGTTCGTTTGGCCACGCCAAATGGATCCGTGGTCTCTGCCTACCCTTCTAAGTTACAGTCATGAGTTGTGTGTGTGTGTGTGTGATGACATACTTTTGATTACTTTTATTTTTTTCATTTTGGCGTTTATTAGAGCAAATCAGTAAGAGAGAGGGAGATAGAGAGAGAGAAAACATAACTGACTATCTCTTTATTTGTGTATGGCTAACAATAACCATTAGACGCGACAAAACAGAGGATGCTCCCAAAGGAAGATAAATTGAACTGCACTATTATAGTGACGTGGTTTGACGTCATTGTCCTTTCTTCTGGGGAATTTGTTTTTCCTGTTTCTTATAACACATTTCCCCGCTTATCTAAAGTAATATTATAAATAGTAACTTTATTGCTGTAGTTATAGAAATATTTACATAAGTTAGAAATAATGATTAATCGTGTTATTTACGTGAATATTTTTATTATATAAATATAATATATTAGATGATTATTTACTAGAGTTATGTACTAGAGGACAATTCCATTTTTTTTCGCTTGTATCATTATAATTTTGATTTGAACAACGACATTGTAACACAGATATTTTCAAGGTCAATCTCTCTATCCTCTGTCTATCCCAAACGGAGTATCATAAATAACATCACATTATAAATTTATAGTCATGTTTCACGAACGCAATCGATAGCTGTCTGTTGCGTTACATTACAGATTATATTAACAAGAGAACACGATAGTTCCTCGTTAATTAATTAAATTTTATATTAATGGAACTGTAAAAATGAGGAACGAAATTAATTTTCGTACATATATTAAAAATTGCATCTTTTCGTGAAAACAGTGCCTATTTTATCGTCAAGAGACACTATTTTCAAAGAGAAAGATCTCTTTGTTTGCTTTATGATTTGTAGACAATTTCAAAGAAAATTCCCAAGAAAAAAATCTTAAACAAAATGCAATAAAAAGTAACAAAATCATGGCATACGTTCGAAAGTAAGAAATTTCTGTACATTCTTTATAAATATACCATAGACGTATTGATAACCTCCTTCTTTTTGAAGTCTACGTTAAACGTCTAAGTACGTAGTTCTACAGCCTTATATCTCGTAGGTGCCTTAAACATGGTTTTCACCAATTTATATTTAAATTCATTTAATTAAAACATATAAAAAGGCAATAAGGGTCTGGTGGAAGCGTACTTTATTATAGTAATAAATATTACGGGCATTTTAAACACGAGGACATTTACTTTTAAAACTAAGTAACGACACTCTCGGCGGCCATTGAAAACGTAAAAATATACAAAAAAGTTATCCAGGAACGTCTTTCTGTTACGCAAATTGGTAAAGACGTGATGAAAATGTTAAGTCGACATTATTGGTGTTTAAAAAATATTTTTAAGACGCTTATTCATTTCGTTTCAATTCATCGAAATTTAGTCTTTAATAGACGAATATAGTTATCGAAGTTTACAGTGCTACAAATATTTAGAGGTCACATTTTTCTTGTCTCTTCTATTATTTTTAATCCCTAATTCTATGGTGTCCAGTGTGACGAACGACTAATTAAAAAAACGCAAGTGTGACTTTACTAAAGAAACAGTTATTTTTGCTACAAAAAATTTCGTCGAATTGAGGGTTAATATTTCTGCTTTGTTTCTTAGCAAGCTAATTATAAGACAATGAAGCAACTGGGGGATATAGCTCAGTGGTAGAGCATTCGACTGCAGATCGAGAGGTCCCCGGTTCAAACCCGGGTGTCCCCTAATAACTTTTTGTGATTATTTTCTATCCATAAATATTTACATCTAAATTCGAAACTTTCCAACAGCTATAGAAACGCATTTTTTTAACAATTAATTCAACATAACCTTTATTGGTTTTCTTATTTCCTTGATAATATGTTGAATTATAAAATCAAGTACAAATTAAATTGCGTTTTAAAAACAATAAAATCTCAAAGTTACATTACTCGTTTACTTGCACTCCGAGCATGCAACTTAGAGATTTTATTCTTTTTCTAAGATTTCACCGTCAAGTACTACATGTTATGTTTACGAACTTTACTAACAATCTTCGAGATAGAAATGCGTTTATTTGTGTCGTGCGTTTCTCAGATTTATATGTAGGAATATAGTCAAATAATAGTGAGTTTCTGAGACCAAAATCCCCTTTTATATATCGTTATCTCTGTTTTGTAAAAGATGATGACAGAGATGACGATATTTTATACAGAGATTTTAATCTCAGAAACACACGGTAACTGAATTTATCTTACTAATATTATAAATGCGAATGTTTAGATGGATGTTTGTTTGAAGGTGTCTCCGGAACGTCTGAACGGATCTTGATGAAAATTGGCACAGATGTAGAACACATTCTGAAAGAACACATAGGCTACTCTTAATTTTTTTTTAATTCCGCGCGGACAACAGCTATGATAAAATAAATGACAAAATCAAATCTAAGGAAGATAAAATCTTTTGGTTAAGTAAAAGAGAATCAAAGTCGTGGGTTCGATTTTGTTTGTTAATTATCCTAGGATAAAAGCAAAAATCATTGTAATTGTTGAAATTATTATACTTATGTATAGGAAGGTTAGAATAAGAACTAAATGAATTTAAAATGTTACATTTAAATATATCGCGGATAGCAAAAAAGGTTTAAGACTGCATATTGACCTAGGTCGTTTGTTTTATGTTAGAAAAAAAATCTAATACACTTGTGTTTATCAACACACCTTTCTAGTAAAGTTCTATTAAACAGTTAATATTGTCTAAAAATAGCTTAGTAATATATAGATAAGAAGTAATAAAGCAGCGTGGCCATGTCCAGTATCATTGGCCATCTTAACAGCGGGGGGACAAACAGAAATTAATATTTTTGCTTATTATTGAGACGTAAATGTCGTAAAGTGATATAAGTATGGTAAATACTAATTTTATTTTATAATAGCGAATGTTTGGATGTATGGATGGATATTTGTTAGATGGTATATATAGTATCACAGAACGGCTGTCTGAAATACATAGGCTATCAATTTTTTTTGGGTTTTGCGCGGATGGAGTCACGAGCAACAGCTAGTTAATTAGAGTCAATATTTCCAGCACTTTACTTTGACATTATACCTTTGTGAAACAGGCATTTTATAACAATTGTATTTTAATTAAAATTAGTTTCTCAATAAATACACGTTTTTAGTAACGAATTGCGTATGTCTATGGGCAAGAGACGCTTCGCCAATTCGACGAATTCTTGCGACGGCCTACCTTTTAATATAAATAATGCGGCTCTTTAGTGCTGACTTTTTGAGACGTAGAACAATATATAATTTTTTTTTTTTTATAAAGCATTGATAAAATGTTCAATTAATTTCATAATAGAAATTAATTAGCGCCCGCACAAATGTACACAAAAGGCAGAAGAAACGACCACTTCATTTGAATGTGGTCCCATTCACATGTTACTGTAAATGTGACGTGTAATTTGCATAATAAATTAAATTTCGTATTGCTTTTGACTTTTACATGAAAATTAAACAAACACCAAACTGCTTTTTCATTAAACTATAAATAATATTTATTAAAAACTCATTTATTAAAAAGTAACTTTATTAATAATTAATAAATACAATCGACTTGAAGAAACTTAAATATTTTAAAATGAAGATGACAAAAGTTTCGGCATGATATGTCTATCTCTTTCTCTCTTATTATCTTCTTTAATTTCACGCATAAGAAACTCACTTAAGATGAATTAAACTGTCTACATCTATCTCTTTCTCTCGCGTGTTATCCTAGTAGTCAAGAGCACAGAATAACGCGACTCCCCTCTTAATCCAGTGCGCCTGCGGCTTGTGTGTGGCCAGTTCGATTGTCATCACATAGTTGGTGGAGTGGCCAGTGGTGGACAGCGTGCCGGCGCGCAGCAGCGTCTTGTACGTTGGGCACTCGTACAGCCCCTGCTGCAGCTTGTGACCCTGCTCTGGCCTCATGTAAATTATTGCCATCTCTACAACAAAATGAGTAAGATATATAAGAAGGCAAATTAATAGTGAGTTTTTGAAAAACTAGTCAGCTGTTGATGTTGTGGATTTGATATTAGTAAATGAGGCTCAACGCTCGTATCGTGACGGTTAATACGGGATTATATAATGTCATGGACATCTGCAACACTAGAGGAACCGCGTTGCCGACCTTTAAGGAAATCGTGTATTCGCTTCTTGAAGGACCCGATCTAAATTCATTATGTGTTATAAAATATCGATAAAATAGGTTAAAATATGATTTTGGCTTCCTTTCCCTTATCCTCTAACAAGGCTGACTTATACGTATTTGTTGCAAATGTTAACATTACATTGACTGTTCAACCTAAGTAAATGGCCATAATAATAATGCAACAAAAGAAATCATTACCAGTATACAACTCTTTAGGTCTACTCTCCTCCAGTGACATGTCGCCCATGTTCCAGCGTGCACCTTCCAGGTACAAGCCGCGTACGCAGCAACCGTCTTCTGGCTTTTTTGGCGGTGGCCCCGCTAATGGCTATGGGACAACGAAATATACCAGCTTAGGGCATGTCCTAAGCAGCACATTATATAAATGACCATAAAGAGAAACTAAACGAACCTCAAAAGCGTATGATATAGTGTCGATGGCGATAACGTGCTTTCTGGCATAGTTCTGCAGCGCGCCGGTGAGAAATGCTTGCGGGAAATAGAATCCTGAGATCCAGAACACCTTGGGGATGCCGCCCTCCGCCCAGTGCTGCATGAATTGCACGCGCTGTAATAAGTCCTTCACCCAGGCACCTGCATGATAATCCCAAGTTAACAGTTATAGCCACAAGGTATTACAATCTGCTAATAAATGTCAAATAAGGGTCGCCTAGTGGTTGATACGGGCATTTCTCAAAGGTCCTCCCTCACAAAAGATTCCTTTCGATACCTTTACCACCTTTATCTATTGAACTTCCGCAACCATGACCATCTCGTAAGTCTTATATGTACGACCTACCCACGCTCAAACGCCACTAAAGTGTGATTAAAAACTAAAAATATATACCCAAAGGTTTAAGCGAGGGGTACGCCTTAGAACTCCACATGGTAGGCACGACTTGGCGCGTCAGGCTGCCGGCCATGCTTTCCAAAGCCTCCGACATCACCACGAGCCCTTTTAAAGCTTTTAACAGATCCCTATGATAGCAATTGATTCGTTTAAAGCTATTGATCGACGCAATATATTATGGTATTATTATATAAATTGTCAGTGTAAACTTACTTCAAAGAGTTACCAATGACAACCAACAATTTGTTATATCGAATCGCCTCTTGTATCAAGACAGTGTTCAAGGATTCCTTGTACGACACGGGATAGCTAAAGAAATAAACAAATATTAATATCTTAACTCTTCTCTGCTTCGTTCTTTTAAACATTAAATCAATTACTTAGTTGCAATATATTGTTGATCGAGCAATTGTGGCAGCACTTCTAAAATTTCTTTTGCCGCTCGCTCCGTCATCTCTTCGGCCGACATTCCCTCACCGCTGCTAACCTCCTTTGGTTGTAAATCGCGTAAAGTATCTGTCGCAAATAAATACGTTAAAACCTATACATGAAATGCAAAATTATTGTAAGAAAATTGATTAAATTTCCTCCACGATTTCTTTTTTTATACTGTCATCACAAATCTTCTATTAAGGGAGAAGGACATTGCGTCGTTAGATGTTATGAAAAAGTAATTGGGAAAGGCATACATTGTAGTTTGTAACTTATTATGCACTAACTGAGGTTCTGGTTGGTCTCAGAGACAGCGTAGCTGATGTTGGCGTTGCTGTGCAGACCGAAGAGTGCGGGGTCGTCGTTCAGCGGCAGCGTGCGGATATACTTCGTGTAGTCTTCGATGCTTGCCGCCGGCGATTGCTACGTATCATTGCAACAATGATGTATCAATTAACTTGAGATCAATTCAAATTAAAGCAATCATTAAAAAGATGCCACACTGAAGTTGCATCTGCAGTAAGACTGTCGACGGGCAGCGCACACAGTCCTTGAGGCATGTTATATTTCTATATTCTAAGTAGCACGAATATTAATGCTATTATTCGTGCTACTTCTTGGAATGGTTGTAACCTGTTTGTAAGCACCGCTCTCATCGAAATAGTACCGGTCGCTGAGTACGGTGATGTTGTAATAGTCCGCCAGCAGGTACAGCAGACAGCGCCTGTCCCAGTCGTCCGTCACGCGCCCGCCGTAGTTGATGTGCCCCGCAGTGTACGTCAGCATCTACATCACATGGTATTATAATATTATCAGAGAATTACAGCGAACTATGCATTCGAACAATAATCTTCAAGAGCTTACCCTGAGCGGCACTTCGGTGTACTCTGTAAGGAACATGTGCAGCTGCGAGATGCAGATGCGCAAGTCACCATCTGTAAACTCGTAGGGTATGTTGAAACCGAGTGGACCAAACTTACGCCGCTCCAGCACCACGCCGTGGAACAAACACAGAGAGAACAGTAGCCACTGCAATAAAAGTTCAGACATATTCCTTCGACGCATTGTTTAAGGAAATAAAACAAGTACAAATAACGAACCTTGAAATTTGTGACTTTGCTGTCCCCAGAATTGATGTAATCATTGAAATCTGGAACTTGATTCATATAAGCCTTCAGTAAGTTTGCTTTGATCCCACGCGGTGGCTCCACTGTCATTTTATAACCTGAAACAGAAAACATTATTTTAGAAGTTTTTTCTTTTATAACAAAATCGCCATATAAATGTACAACAAAAAACAATACCATTTTGCAGTAAGGCTACAGGGAAGAAAGGCGACGGTGTAGAGGTAAGCCATAATCGGAAATCCTTGTGCACGGCCTCTGGTTGAATGTTTTCCACGTTCACTTCCAGAACTGGCATCCAAGATGGTGATAAATGACAATTCTGTAGAGAACAATAGTAATTTAATAATAACATCTATCTAACTTGACGAAATTTAAATAAACAGTAAATTTTTATTTACGTTACCTGAAAGAAGACCCAATTGCCGAAATCACAGCCGTTCCGCATCATGCTCTCGGCGAGCGGGCCCTGGCCCTGCCCCAAAGAGATGCTCTCGAAACGTTTGCCCATCTTCATTTTGTCAGCGAATTTCAGCAAATCTTGGAACCAAAAACCAAAAGGTTTTATATTATAACATTGTGAAGGTGATTTTGAATGTAAAAAAAACTATATATTGGTATAAATTCGAACATGCTGTTGACAAGTACCGGCAGCAGGATCTGTGCCGGTGGAGAGGACGAATATGATGGGCGCGAGGGGGTCAGACTCGCCGTACAGCGCGGCCAAGTCTGCCGGTTGCGGCTCCACGAACCGCGCTCCCAGGCTCACCACCACGTAGTCCTGTACAAGAACACAACATCACAAGATACCACTATAAGCTTGAACTTGGCAATCGAAGGTCAACAGTCATTAACGTGTAACGAAGAACTTTTCTTGAAACCGTCAAAATCGTGCTATAAATATTGAATGACATTGTCCACAGTATATCTGAATTCATTAAGTACCTGGAAGCCGGGTATGACTTTGTCGGGACGCAGGCACTTCAGTACCAGCAACTTCTGGAACGAGTCTAGCTGACTGTCTAGTGGCTTCGGGTACGGCATTCTACGAAAAGGGAACATTGCATGTTGTTCTCTATATAAAACCATTGGTTTCTATAAGGTCAAAAATATGCTTGGTGTTTACTTATGTGGGTTCCAAGCCTCATAATAAGTGCGGAAGAACTTGGTGTGCTCAGGAAAGTCTTTAACGAACTGATTCATGCTAGGCACCGATGCCAGCTGCTGCATGTCCAGCCACATGCGTTCCGAGATCCACTTCGGTTCCGGATTTTCCATTTCCTAAAGAGAATGATAATTAAACCCCCAAATTAGTACTTCATAGTATTAAGTAACAATATCACAATGAATAACAGACGGCAAGAATTGAATCGGGAACAGTAGAAATGAAAAAATGCCGTAGTTACTTCTTCAATCTTGCCTCCTATGAGAAGGAAGTTGTATTCGTTCAGCTTGATGATGCCTTTGTCGAGATTGATTCGCGCGGCAAGCAAGAACGCAAAAAGTAGCTTGTGTCGTTCGAACAGACTGCGGCACACGTTCTGGTACAGCAGGAACGTGAAGTGCTCGATTATTATCTCCACGCGCTCCATTATGTCCTCTGAACAAAAACAAGAGGCGAGTATTAGTCACAGTTAATTTGCAATGTCCACTATTTGCATCAACGCTGTGGTCAGTTAACAACATTATTTATGAAGTACCTACCAACAATTTCAGTTTCAGCCATGCTTCTTATAAAGAGCTTGACAAACCACTCGAGCGAGTACTGGTACATGGGGTCCACGTTAGCCATGCCCGATAGGCAGAAAAACAGGATCTGTCCCCTATTGGCCACTGGCACGTAATCCAGACGGGCCTCGTCGATCTCTTTTGAAGTCCGTTCTATGTCTTCTACTTTAACCTGATAAAAGCACGAGTAAAAATCACAATTGAGCAGACGCTGGTAGATAATGGGGAACCAAACTAAATCTTTTCTTTCTTTTACGGCTGAAGCCAAGTAGAATCACTAACAATAATTTCCGCGCTCTTTATCTTGATCGCCTCCAGAGTTAAAATGAGCGGCAGGTCGTCGACTGGCGAGCCCTCGCTGTTGGACAACCCGTACAGGATGTCTGACTGCATGTCGGCCAACTGCACCGCCATTTGCGCTCGCGTTACAATCAGCTGCCCACGTAGCTCTTCTAAATCTGGCCGCTCCTGTGCTACCACTATGGACAGTAGCTGTTCAGCTAGACCACTGGAAATCAATAGACGTTAACGTAGCATCGGTGATTACAAAAATAGTATTAAAAAAATATATATAATTTTGCTATTATATCAATATAATATTGAAAAATCTTACCTTGGTACAAGAGCAAAGTTAACAATCTGGACTTTTACTGAGGTCTCTGGCGTGTACTTGGGATTGGGCAGTTTAGTCGTGATGTATAGACGGAAGCCAGCCGCAAACGGGATCAGAGAGTCGCCCAGCTTCAGTACCAGTTGACCCGCTTGACGAAAGTATTGACGCTACAAAATAGTATGTTTGTTTACGACGCCTACTTTTTCACCCAAAAGTCATCTAAACAAAAACGTGAATGTTAACACGACTCGGAAATCTTAATCACCTTCAACACGGGGTCTAGCGCTGGATCGAGCTCCTGTCCAACGTTCTCAAGCAGTAACGGCTTGCCGAACCTAAGCGCGGACTCAAAGCTCCTTAGCAAGTCTCTATCGTTAGGCTTGCAAACAATCAGACCTTCTATTTTACCCTAAAAATGAAAACAATATGAAAATAAAGATAACAATGATGAAATGATACCATCTAAAATCAAATTGAAAGTAAAACTCGACTGTACCATAGCTCTGATCCACTTGTTGGCCTGTGTCTGGGGGTCAATGATGAGCGGCCAGCGGCGAGAGTTGGTCATCAGCACCGCAGACTCTACCGACAACGGGTCACGTGGCAGACCATACATTTGCCACGTCCTGGTACAAGTAGACATCTCTTAAATTCCCCCAAACAACATATAAATATGTCCGAATATTACAAAGGCACTTGTAACTTTTTTTTAAAGAAATTTACCTATATCAATATATATATATTTCTATAGTGAGATACTTTACTTGCCTTATCTGTACAGCATCGCCCAAAACTGAAAGTGGCGTAGCTCCATCTGTATGTGGTACCGCTACTTCCTAAATAAAAGACAATGTTAGTTTTATGATAGCTCCTTATTATCTACGCTCTTTGTTGTAACGTGAGCGCACTTCTTAAATATGAATTAATTAAAATCAACATCTTGAAATATCTCACAATCATGTGTTCAATCCATTCAATCATCAGTTCTTTACGAAACTCCTCGGTGAATGGTGTGATGTAGCCAACTGCGCCTGCAAACACATAAAACCATTAACTAAATAGACGAAACTATTGCACTTCCACTAGGGGCGATGCACTAAATAAATTGTATCGTTATCAAACGTAATAGTCATTTTAGACTTTTTGGATATTTTCTTCAAGATTATGGATACTTCATGTAACCATACTTACATGCGCTTAGTAGAATGTCTCCAATCAAGTTAACGATAGCGATATCCAAGTCCTTGATAGTTTGAATCCAACGAACTCGTTCACTGGACAACCCGTTAAGCAATCTACGAATAGAAATCACAGTATTAGTATAGTACACATGAAAAAAGAATTAGGACATATAATCACTGACCTGTTCGCTCGATCCATCCTCGCGAGACACTGGTTGATGTCTTCTTCCATTCTCTTTTTTTCTTCCTCTTTTTCTTGTAAATACGCATTGAGTTTGGCTATACCCATAAGCAGAGCTTGCATTTTTGCCTTGGCGTTTGCGAGTACGGCTGAAATACGATTAGATTTCTTTACAAATTTCCTTCCCTATCTTCTACCAAAGCATACCAACACCTACACTACATTGTAGAATACTATTCCAGTAAGATTGGTGGTGACCAATGTACCTTCTACAGCCGCAAGTTCTTGAGTAGCTCGAGCAAGAGCCTCTTTCTTGGGCGCGACTGCTTTATTTACGTGGTAATACTTATACATGGCGTGCACCCACATGCACAGCGACATGCAAGCTTTTGACACCTGATACCAGGAGAATAGAATAAATAAATGTCTTTATCATAGAAAAGCAAGCTTTGCAAGCAGTATAATGCAGCAACAGCTTTAGTATTACATAATATTTTTTTGACATATCACCTTTTGAATCTTAACCGGTTGGTAGTCGGGGTTGTTGACGTAGCGCGTCAACTTTTTAATCATATCCTCAGTAATGCTCTCCTTGTCATACTTCATCAGCGAGTCCAAGAAGCCACCAGGATCCGCCAGCATCTGAGACCCTGGCTTCCAGTAGTTAAGAACCTTTTCACCGAATTTCGCTCCAGGCTCCTAAATCAATTAAATTTAATTTTCAGATTGCTACATCGATAGAACAGTGACATTACATACTTTGACATAATTGTTTTACTGCATTGTACTCACTTTTATAGGTTTAATATCAAAGACGACACAAAGTGTTTCAACAACAAGCATGACTCCTGCCGGTGGCTTCTTTAGCGCCTTGACTTCAACAATGTCGTTCTTATTGAGTTCTTTCAATGCTTTCTCTGCGGCTAGTAAAGCCGGCATTGCCTCATCTGTGTACAAGTAAACAATATTATGTATTCAGGGAATATCATTTACAAGTCAAATTACAAATTAACACAATTTTACCTAAGTCTTTTTGCGCCTCCTCAGCCATTGCAGAAGTTTCGGCCGCCATTTTCTCTGCAACAGCTTGTTCTTTTTCTACTTTGATTCTGGCTTCCTCTGCTATTGCCTAAATAGTGACACATATGTTGTAATTAAGAATCTACTTTCTATTTAATGAAGCACATGTGTGTACTGAGTTTATAAAATTAATCATTTGAATGATTTTGTTTTCTTTTTCTTCTGTTTCTCTAATCACATTTTTTTGAGGTTAAGTTAATTTCTCCTCGTTGGAGTCTTCAACTACCTTTTTATTTTGCGCTAAATGTTATGTATGTTATGCACCAAAAGTAAAACTATATTTCAGTTGTAGGTAAAATGTGCTAAGATGTCGCAAACTATAATAAAAGATATAAATATTAACAGTGTCTGTTGCGATTTGTTCGATGACTTTTTTGGTCTCGTCTGCCGCGCGCTCCATCATCGGCTTTAGCTCTGCCAGCTCGATCTGCAGCTGTTTCACCTCCACTTCTGTTTGGTTTAGTTTGTTTAACCCTGTGAAATTGTTCTTAGTCACCTTTAAGCCAATTATCAACTTTTGTATTCGTAAACCTTACCACTATGAAGTTGAGGAATGGTAAGCTAAGGATATAACTTTTTTTCTGTTAAAAATCTTCTACGAGTGCATGTTCGTCGCAATAAAGAAAGAAAATAAATACTATACCAGTCTTCAATGCATTAGATTCCTTTAAAATAGCAGCTTGCTTCTTCTTAAACATCTCAGCGTATGCAGAGAGCATCTCCATGTATGACATGGGTGTGACGTAGTTGAGCCGGTTCAGCCGCGCCAGGAAGCGCGCGCTAGCATCCACCACGCTCTGATGCGCGAAGCAGCATACCGACTGATGCAAACATATTGCTAAATTGCATACGGTTATGTGGACTAGTTACTTTGACAAGTTACGAGGAAGTTTGCGCCTCGAGCATTTGAAAAAAATGTACATTATGATATACTCACAACCATGGAAAGAATAACAGTTTCGTTTGTCTGCAGCTCGGGCATATTTTCAAAAAAGTGTTTGGCGACGGACTCGAGTGCCGTCTTTGGCCATTCACTGAACCAGTCAATGGTGCAGCAATTTACCAGTGAGGGAAACTGACGCAATCGAGCTCGGAATATCTACGCAAAGATAATAATTCAGAAAACTTAATCCGTTTAAGTTCACTTCGAGTTTGTTTACTGTTTAATTTTGATAGTGACCTCTCCAACAGGGCTCATGACGATGACGATGTGCAGGTTGGTGCGTACACGCCGCTGGTAGCAGCTAAACAGGTTGGTCTTGGTGGGCGCGAGGTTCTGCTCCATGGCCGCCTGCCGCACCAGCTGGAAAACGCGGTCCAGGTCCTCCGGTTCGTAGATGTTGGGCACGTCTCCGGAGCTTAGCACGTTGTTCAAGTCTTCGAGGAACGATTCCATTTTTATCTAAAACATTTAAGAATGCGGTCTAGAATTATTCTTAGAGTATTTTATTTTTTTCATAAAGAAAGATAGAGATACTAAAATTCTCTAATTATCATGATAAGTAACACATGAGACCTGTGCGTCGGAGAAAAGGAAGACAATGCCCCTATTTTCGCCTCCTGCTTTGATCATGGTCTGCTTAATATCGTCACGCCACTCCGTCATGCCGTACGATTTGGTGATCTCGATCTGAATGCATATCAGTTCTGCCATGTGTGCCGCCAAACGCGACAAGCTCTGCCGACCTGCATATAAAAGGACCTGTGCAATAGTCCACTTGAAGTACGAAACACTTAACTTCGCAATTATGCTACTAGCTATGGCCATGTAGGCCACGAGAATGCCAAGATATATCTGGTGACGTACCCGAGCCGCCCATCCCAAGAAGAAGCGCGTTAGCCATAGGCTGGCGCACAATGCGCGCGATGCGACACAGATGCGACACCGCATCCTCGAACAGCACCAGGTCGATAGGCACGGTCGACGATAAATTGTAGTCCTCCATGTAGTGCTGCAGGATCTCATGCATCTGTACTAGTTAACACCTAACTTAAAGTAAACCAAATCATGTGTTCCTTTCATTTTCTCCTGTTCTTTACCATTAAACTTTACCTCTTCCCAGTCGAGAATCTCGACGTACTTGCGGTCATCGGCGCCGATGTCCATGAAGTCCCCGAACAGCATGAGCCTCCCACCGATGATATCATTTGGCTTCTTCCCGAAACGCGTCTCAATTTTCTTATTCATCAATCTATAAAATACAAGAAATAACCAATACACTGAATGAACTTTTGAAAGATTTCTAGAAACAGAGATATGACTTACTTCGTAAACCATTTCCTGTCTTCATTGTTCACCAGGCGATCCTGATACACACGAAGATGCTCGTGATACCACAGCCTTATCACCTGGTCTTCGTCCTAAGTCACGATAAATGTATCATCATCATTGTCGTCAGCCTACTATACATAGTGCTCTATTAAACGTTTTAGAACCCGTGTAAAGCGTATGTTTTACCTGTATGGAGGCTGGATCCATCATCAGGATGCCCTGGAACACCTTGCTTAAATCCCGCAGGTTGAAAGTGTAGTGGGACTTAGTGGGCGTCGGCAACAGCTCCTCGACCAGCGACGTGAATACCTCAATGGAACTCTTCAGGAAAGGTTCCTCACGAATCTTTACGTTGTTGAAATTCTTCGTCCAGGAATTGAGAATCACGCTAAATATCGCGTACTGAAGTAAGAATTAAATGAGGTAAGAGCCCTGGCATAGTTTCCTACATTTATCTACTCTTCCAACAAAAACTACCAACCTTGCTACTATACTCCATCTCAGTAAAGGATATGTAGTGGAAGTGCCGCATGAGACGCATGGTGACAGGGTTGCGGCCTCCGCCGGGCGGACCCATCGCCGCCACGATGCCAACATCAACCAGCGTCTTGAAGTCTCCTATACTGGTGCGATCATACCACCCTGGAATCACAGAAAATATCAAGCATATATTTTCACTATTATATACGGCGTCTAGCTGTGGGTGTAAAGGGAAGGGCAAAATTTGAATTGTTTATTTCTTATATTACCAGAAAAGTCCATAAACTGTCTGAGTAGTTCAATGGGCGGTTGCGCGCCGTAAACCTCGAGCGCGGGCATGTTGAGGTCATCGATGAAGAACACCTGCCGCTTGGTGGGCGGCGGCCCGAACACACCGCGCCGGCGACGCTCCAGTTTGCTGTCGATCACGTCCTGACACAACATTAAATAGGAACTAAAATAACAATAAATACAAAGGGGAAAATGTCACGTCAGGTATGATAAATTGTTTATTGGTAAAACTTTTGCACACATGGTGAACCTAACCTGCGTCTGATTAGCGGAGGTCCTTGCAGAGAAAACGATGAACTCGCAGATGAACTTCTTGTGCAGACCACGCGACAGCTTGGAGGAGACGGTGACCGTCTTGCCGGTGCCGGTGGGGCCGGCGCACAGCGCGTGGTTGTAGTTCGTCACCTTATAGCCCAGCAACGCTGCACTGCGCACGTTGTCCATCGTCGGCACTTCGATATCTGTCACAGTAAAACTTCTTTTACTTTGCATCTATTTACGTAGTCTGCCAATCACTACACACAACATAAGTCGCACTATGTATTGATTTTCTGGTGTCTTTACTACTCATACCTGAGTAAGGCCGCTCTGGATCCACTTCATACTCTTCAATATTGGCCATCCAACTATACCAGTAAGGGTTGGCAGGCTCACCATCTTCTGTTAGGTCGGTGAAGCCGCCATCGTGTAACCTATAAATTGCAAAACATTTGAACAAGTCCTCAAAACCATACGCATAACATTACATACTTATCCTTCCCAAGAAATTCATTTCAATACTTACGTGTAGTCGTAGACTCTGCCTTCCTTTGGGAACTGTGTCTTCATATCGGCATCCCTCATCAGATCACGCATGAAGTCGGAGAATATTGCGCGGCTGGTGTGGTCGCACGTCGCGCCAACTGACCAGATCACAGACCACACCACCCAGCACGGCGCCAGCTTAGCTGTTAAAAATCACAGGTTAAGCCATAACATCGTAAGAAATAGTAATGTACCAGGGGAGAACTACCGTAAGTGCCAACTATAGCTTGATTCTAATTGTTTAGGTTATTTTATAATATTAAGAAATAATTAAAGTATCAGTGTGTCTCACGCATGAGTGCGAGGAAGGGTGGCGCGGGGGGCGGGCGGTCGTCTTTCCCGGTGAGAGGCCGCAGCCGGAAGTCGAGCAGCTCGAGGAACTTGAGCATGAGCGCGCTGTCGATAGAGGGCACGATCTCTATGAGCCGAGCGCGCAGCAGCTGCAGCGAGGGGTACACGTACGTCTCGATCAGACCCGGCAGCTGCTTGCGGATACTGTCACCGATCTGGAATAACAAAAAAAAATTACTGAAGAGGAGGAGAAATTTAAGGAAACTTTAAGGATATTAGAAAATGATAAAATTCTTACCGGTGGCAGATTACTCTTCAACCAGGCATTGACCAGCGGCGGCAATCCCACAACCTTTGTATCCAAGTAGACCATGCCGCAGCGCGACACAGTAGCTGGGGAAGCCACCGCCAGATCAGCCACCTCGAAGATCATACGCTGGCGGTCCGTCATCTTCATGATCTCACCGCTGGACAGGCACAGCTTCTTGTTGTCGTCCAGTACCTTATACAGATATATATCATTTCAAATTTTGCCACAGTGTTACCGATTTCAGTAATTAAAGTTTGGTACAAATACTTTATATTCCATTACCGTATTCATATTCTCGATCCACACAGCGTCAACGGGTCCGTCGAAGATGTACCAGCGCTTGTCCATGTCCTCGACTGCGATTCCGGCCCGCACCAAACTCGACAGAATACCGTCCGTCCTGACCACGCGATGACCAAAACAATTCATGTGATATGAAATAAGTGAAATGAAATAAGATACTTTGTTTTGAAATTAAATAAAAAGTATGAGTATATATTACCACTCATGAGTCTGCAGATCAAACTCGCCGTAGAGTTGTCCCATGGTGATAGATTTGGGATTAACGACGTACGTATGTACCGGGGTAAAGGGGAACCCGTCTGGGGCTAGTTTGCCCTTTATTGCCGTCAACGCGTCACGGAGCACTTCGTAACACTGCGAATCACAAACGTAGCAAAAAATTACTTATATGCACACACGCTCGAAACAATGAATTCTTTAGGGTTCTGGCTCGAAAACAGTCATTTATTTCAAATACAATAAGAATCTTTATAGCACTGATTAGTCTATCCAGAGGCTAACCTTAGTCTTCCCAGAGCCCGCCGGCCCCACCAGCATGAGACCATGTCGCACTACCGTGGTCTCGTACAGCTGAATTATCTTGAAAATAAACGCTAAAATAAAGAAAAGCAAAATAAGTTTATATTCTTCGCCAAAGCGACAATGTGACAGACTGTTGTTATTACTTACTGTACAATTCGTCGTAACCTCTCTTGACTAGTATGTTCCTGATAGACTGCTCCATAATACCATAGTCCACCACAGGAATCTCAACACGAGGGAACAGATCAGATATAATACCTGCAAAAAAATTTAGTCAATTATTTAACCAGAAACAAAAATTTACAATTATATAATATTATGATAACCGACGTATCATAATATAATTGAACAGTAAGCTTACCGTTAAACAACAGCAAATCATCAGCGAGGAACTTGGGCACGTTGACATCTCTCAGCGCGCGAAGTACAATCTGACGCTCGTCACCGTCTGGCATCTGACGGATGAGGTTGCCCGCTACCAGGATCACAGTCTTCACCGCGCGCATGCCGAAGTCATAATGGTCCTGATAGAAATAAAAAAGGATAGAGAATTAATATCTAGCAATATAGAAACCAATTTTTGTGACCATCATCATCGAACATTCTCTGACCTGTGACGACAGTTGTTCAGAGCTAAGCCTAAATGTGGTGGTGATCTTCCCAGCCAGGATCTTGGCCTCGTAGAAGCCATACGAGAACAGCGAGATCTCCGCGATGAGGGCATAGTCGGGAACCATCATAGCGATCGGTCGAAATAGAGCCTTCAAATTATCCGGCAGTTCAGTTCGACCTGATGAAAGGTGAAACAAATGACGATAGACGAATCCTTTAGTAAAAACAAGTTGTATATGAGTACTATAATGTATTTTCCTCACCAGCATATCCCGGATTCATAGTGATGAAGACGGAGCAGGACATCTTCAGCGGCAGCTCGCAGCCCTCAAAGATAAACCTGTCCTGTTTTGCGATTTGAGCTTTTTGGATTGTAACCACCTGGGATAGATAGATGTTAAGGTTGCTATACTTCTTTGTGGATAATCGGAAAATAATTTAAGAGCTTGCAAGATAATTGGACACATAATATTGTTACCTGCTGAGCCACCACCGACAGCACTTCAATATCTATACGATTGAACTCGTCAAAGCAAGCCCACGCACCAGACCTGACCATTGAAATAAATATTGAAAACGTTCCCACTTTAAGTAAGTATACTTATAATGTTGATATCACTTACGCCGCCAAACCCTTGAAGAACTTTCCCATGGCCATGAAGTCGAGCTGGTCAGAGCAATTGAACACCACGCACTGCACCGCCAACGCTTTTGCCAAGTCCTAACGATAAGCAACCCTTTTTAATACCATCAACCTCTCAATTCAATACGACAAGGCTCTCGATTATTTCCTAGAGTACAGTTTTGACGAGATGCAGCAGGTTAGTACATATTGCCGGCACTTATACACTATTAAGATATACAAAGATGTACACTATAGTAGCGTTTCTTTGAACCCCGAGCAGGTCCGTACTGCGTAGTACCTTGGTGGTCTCAGTCTTGCCAGTGCCGGCTGGACCAGCAGGCGCGCCGCCGAAGCGCAGGTGCATGGCGCACATGAGAGTCAGGTAGCAGCGGTCCGTCAGCGGCGTGATCACCAGTCGTCCGCTGACAAATATACCAGAAATATTAATATCAATTATTGTTAGATTTTCCAAAATCGCAATATCGTACAATAAAAACTCAACTTTCAGCGTTAACCATTCACCGGATAAATAAGTTAAACAAATTAGCTCTCATGGTATTTCCAATATAAAAGCGGCAAGTGAACGATTTTGAGACTGGGGATTACCTGTTACCCAAGTATTCATTCTGGTATGTAAAGACGGAGTTGAGAGCGCGCACGTCGCACGTGTTCTGGCTGAACTGGCGATAGTACGCGGACGTGTCCAGGTGATCCTCGTCCTGGTAGATCTCCGTCGACTCTCCCTCCTCCAGCGGCATCATCTCGCGAACCATTTGGTAGTACCTACACAATTACAGAACTTTAACTTTTCCATTCTATAGGGTAACAGAAACTACGTTTGCGTAAAACTTTCTAAAAGAGGTGATTAAATTTTTAAATCTATATTTAAACAGACAACAAGATAATAATCAAACATGGTTTTAAATGTTACGTCAGTAATTATAACCTTACGTTATCCCCAGAAGTTAGTAGTTAGTACCTCAATTGACAGGTCCATTGGAAGTCGTTGACGTTCCTGACGTTTTCATCGACGAGCGTGTTGGTGACGTCACGCGCGTGCACCTCGATCACGATGAGCGCGCACAGCACCTCGCGCTGGAAGAACGTCAGCTCGCCCTTCACTAGCGCGCGCAGACTGTCCAACTGGGAGAGATTGCCATAGTTTTACTAAGTTATAACAGAACACTTGAAGATCAACACTCTTATCATCAGATATACCTGTTGCAGCATCTGTTCAAAGAACTCCTCCATGCGGTACTCTGTGATGGCCTCCTCGACGCCGGCCGTCCAGGCGAGCTGCGAGCCCGCTATCACCACCTGGCCCGGCCACCGCAACACCCACTGGTTGCGCGGCAACCGGTACAGCTCTTCAAGACCCGCCACCAATGTAAGACGGACTGTAATATGCTAATACGTAAATATACTACGCAAATGCTATGAAAATATGTTTAACCAATATGTTGTATTTTCAAGTCTAAATCTCACTTGTATGCCTCATGGTATCTTCCAGTAATAAAAGCCATTGCTCCACGTTTGCTGTTGGATAGAATTTGTATTTCAATTCCACGATTTCGCCTTCGCTCGAATGCATTTCTGTAATCTTCAAATCGGGTTCGAAAGTAACCTACATTAAAAAAGATAACTTATTACACTTTTGTTACTTAACATATTCTTATCACGTAGAATAAGACAAAAGCTAAACCAACTTTAGCAATGTTCTCAAAGCATTTCCTGAGATGCGGCTGCACCGCGCGTGGGTTGCGCGACTGAGAAAGGATCTCCAAAAGTTCGTCGTCGCTGAGGAAGAACAGGCGCGGAAACCGGATCCTCTTCACCTCCATGTACTCGCTGAGACCTCGAGCCACAATTTCCAGCAGATGTATTGCTTCCAACAGACTGTCGAGTAAGCGGCTGTCGGGACAGGTTACCATTATCTGAAATATTGTAATGGTTAGCAAATATTAAGATTTTCTTGTTTATCTATAAAGTTGTATTTAATGGCAAGAATGTAACATTATTAAAGAGCATTATGGTACCTTGGGGCATGCAGCAGCAGTGCCCATGATCCTGCGCCAGATCCTTTCCATGGTGCCATACTTCTTGGCTTCAAAAGGCAGCTGACGCGAGATATCTTCAGAGTTGAAAATCGGCTCCAAATACATCCATTGCCTAACATATAATATACTTCAATAAAAAAAATCTTCGACCGTGAACCAAAAAGCAAATTAAAAGTTATAATTACTATAATATCTCTCTTTGACGTCCAAATCAGATATCTGACAACAAGAAGTGATCACATACTTCTGGCATTCGATCCACTCGTCAACAACTCGCTGCGTGAGGCGCAGCTTGTCGTCCCACTCCTGGATGCGCAGCTCAAAGGCCGCCTTGAAGGGACTGAAGCCGAGCTGCTGCGTGTTCAGCAGGTGCTCGTCCAGGAGCTGCAGCGTTTCGTCCGCTATCTTCATTATGTACGTGCCTATCCAATTATTAGACTACGTTAGGAAAAAGAAAGCGCTAAAGCTTAAATGATAAACAAAGGAGCAATTTTCTAATTCATTTATGTATCAGTAAAGACCAAAGTTATTGTCTAAAGTCATGGACTCGCCTGTGGTCTTGTAAGGTGACACCTCCATGACCTTGTTAGCCCACTCATTAAGCATCTTGTCAAGCGACTGCTCAATGACGTACTCCTTAGAGGCAAGTTCGCCAATCTCCGCAATGAGAGAGCCGTGCGCCGCCACGCCCTGCTTCAGGCACATCTGGAATGTCTGCTTCTCGTTCATTGTTACTGTGATACCTGGAGTAAAAGAAAATCAAGTCAAGGATAACGTTCACATAGAGTAACCGTGGTTCGGCGATGGTTATCGCTGAATTGAGCGTCAGTAAAAATCCATAAAGAGCCCACTGTACGGATATTAGGTCAAGTTACTCGATGCATTCTGGATTGATCATTTGTCCTTTTATTATAATAAAAGACAACTCACCGGCTCTATCCATAAACTCCTTCCAATGCCTATCCTTCATTCCAGGATTCTTGACAGCTTGTAAGATTGGTACCAGTGGTCTGAATCCATCGATATCGTCCTATAACATTCAATGATAACTATTTTAATTTATATTCATCTTATCAATTTGATTACTCCAATATTTACTTGTTAAAAATCTGCTTCAGTGTTTACAAATGTTACAGATGTTAGGACAATTTACCCTTATATCCAAAGCTACTTTTTGTATCTTGGGCAGATCAGCGAAAGTTCGGATGCATTTTAATATGGTCTTGTAGTACTCGCTGACGAGAGGCTCAATGGTGTCGGCGTCCACATACATCAACGGGTTGTCGAACCACACCTCGCGAGACTTTAGGAAATCTAAAATTGTAAAGGAGTTACGCGGCTGATAAATTTTCACCAAACATAAACACAACTTGTCTTTTAAATTATGATGTATTATTATATTATATTAATACATACCAGAAGCTGTAACCCAGAGGTTTCTATACGGCTCAAACTCTTTGACTAGTCTGTTTAGGTCGGAAAACGGGATGACTGGCTGCCCAAACAGTTTCTGCCGCTGGTTGAGTACGCGTCCCCAATCTTGCGACTCTTTCATTGCTTTCCACGCCTTTTTGATATCGTTCGCTATTTCGTGAACCTACACCAAAACAAACATGGATCTCATAAATATGTTTCTATAGTAATTCAAAACATATTATAAAATACTGTATGATTGTTAAAGTCGTAAATACCCTAGACATGTCGTTCTGCAGTGTGAGCGCCATGCACTGCGAGGTGAACATATCGATCTTGTCGAACAACGTCTGTTCGTCCTGTTGATGCAACTTCCAGAACTTCTCCTGCTCTTCCTCCAGGAAATCCGTGGTAGCGTCCACCTATATACAATCATTCTATTCTCAACAAACGAAATATGATTGGATTTCAATTCATTTAAATCGACGGCTTTAAAATTAAAACTAGCCTGCTTCGTAATAATAAGAGGCCATCCTATAGCCTCCCACAGCGCTTTGAAGTCATCATTTTCTAACGGTGTAAAGAATACGTCTAACACTTCGTAATCCTGAAAAACAAAGAAAAAAAGTATATTATATATATTTCTGTACTTTAAAGTATCTTTTGCAACTCCAAATTAAGCATAGAACTTTTGGGCTACTGTGTAAAAACTTCGGTTAATTCTTACCGTGAATATTTTCTTCATATTATCGTCTTGTGTCTTTAATGCAAAGGGTATACTCTCCATCCACTCTCTGATCTCGAAGACCTGCTCGATAGTATTGGGCTTCTCGCCCAGCTTGCGCATGACGGTCTTGTACGCCATGATGACGTCATCTACCGCGATGCGCACCTCCTCCGCCCACATTGTCAGTAACGCCTTCATTATATCTGATCGCTTCGTTACCAGCAATTGCTGAAAGTGATGACAACATTGGTTATATTCTGGCAATGCTTTGCTTATTGTTAACTTTTTCATCAACATCTAAATATTAAGCCTCAGGATGTTACATGAAAATTGGCGAATAACCTTTAGCGTGTCGACGTTTAGAGAAAAGGGTCCGATGGTGATGTACTGTGGCAAACGCAGAATGAGGGCCTCCTTAGCGTCGTAGTGGATCTGTACTTCTTCCCGCGTCTCTGACGCCGAGTGCTTCTCTTGTCGGAAATTTCTATACCGGGTATTAATTATTTAAAAGCGATTTAATTTAAAAAAAAATAATTGGGACGCTGTGGGGAGAAACTCACTCGACATAATCCTCAATAGTGAGAAGAAATATGTCCCTGTATTCCTCGTATTGCCGCATATACGCTTTGAGAGGGATGATCGCCTTACGATACGCCTTCAACAGCCTCTCACGGTAGTCTACCACGTTGGGCTCCATTAAACCTTGGGAAGATAATCAGTGATCAACTGTCTAATTCAAAACAACTGTCGAATTAAATGTCAAACATATTGCGAAAATAATAAAACAGTGTAGGTACCTATAGACGTAAGAACGAGTTCATTATCGAAGACCAAACCAGTGAGGATCATAGGATGAACTTGCGGGATGAAGTGGCACCGGTACAGCATCTCACGGAATAAACGCTGGATTACAATCTACACACAGAAAATATATCAGTTATCTTAATGGGACATGTACGAGTATGTAGCAAACTAAGCAATATTAATTGTAGATGAGTAAATCAAGTCAAAACAAAGTATTTTCGGTCATGAAAAACAATTTTGGTTCGTACAAGGTACCTCAAATTGCTCTGGCGGTGTAGTATAGTATGGTCCTTCCTCATTCATCATGAGATGGAAGTAAAACAGGGGAGGGGTGTGCGAGGTGAAGGGGGAGTTGATGAGGTCGCTCGAGTCCCATTCGTAGTCCTCCTCGCAACTATAAGTCACCAGGCAGGGCGTCTCGCACAGCGTCACGAACATTAGCATTGACTGCTCGATGCAGTACCGAAGTGCATACTAGAAAAAAACGCATAACCATGGCTCTGCATGTCCTACTCTTCCATACTTACATCTCTATCTAGAAACTCTAAATATTTTTGATTACCTGCATCCTAAATCGTACTAGCTGCATGAACCGGCACAATTTGCTAACAGAGTAGAACTCCCACTGCTTCTCATAAATGTTGAACCATCTGCAAGCGACGTGTCAATAACATAACTGCTAAATTTATCATATGTCGTAAATTAAAATCGAAAAAGGACTTATTTACCCTTTTCCAACATCTCTGAATGACATCCTGATGGCGTGTGCGGTGTTATTCAGCCAAGTTATAGTCAGATACTTGAGCATCTGTCAACAAAAAATTAATTCATATTTGCAAGATAGACCTAATATATTCTAAAAAATTAACTAATAAAGTAAGTACCATTTGCGTACAATGCTGTTGCGCGGCATCAAACTCAGGCAGTCCGACATTCCTGCCGTAGTTTAGAGTGAAAAACAACATTCCCTCCACCTAAAAATAATAATAATAATAATCAAGTATTGAAAGTACCAGTGCAAGTTTAAATGCAGATCAGTTGCATTGAAAATCTCGTGGCCTTAAGAACTACTCCATTCCTCACCTTTAAGCACTCGTCGACAACCAGATGTATGCAGGAGACGGACTCTGTGAGGACGTACAACGAGTACCACTGGTTGTACCTCATACGTCCAGCGAAATCCTCCATCACACATTTCTTACGACCTAAAACAACATTTAAATTCTTCAGTAAATATACTTAGACAAAGAGCTAACAAAAGTCATAAACTACAAGAATTCCAAAGACTAACCGTATTTAGGCACAGGAGGTACATATTCTTTAGTCGGTGGTCGAACAAAGTTGTACATGCCAGGATATTTTTGTATCATAAATATCATCTTCATCTTTCCTTCCATCTTTGTATACAAGAGCTCCGCCTAGTTCAACATCTATGTTAGAATTGTAATAAGTTTCTATACCACCAATAAAAAAATTGCCACGTATTTTACACGTTAAAAAGGTAAAAAGCATGGAATTAACTTATGAAATAAATCAAATCAATATCATCATTAAGACTAGTTATAAAGCGAAATGGCCTTGAATAGTATTTACTCGTCTGACTCGAAGGACCAACCTCCTTTCTAAGCCCGCGCAGGTGTTCCTCATCAACATCTTTGGCCTGCTTGTGTATGCGCACCATACGCAGGATGCCGGGCATGTACTGTAGCGGCATCAATGGTAGCCCGTGCAGGATCAAGCAGTCCAGGTATAGATAGAACCTAACAAACGATACATTCATCATCAACCATCCTTGTCTCACATACGTAAGGTCGGCGCACCAGGGTTCCGTCCTCCATATCTTTCTTTAAATGAGAACGAATATATTAACAATTGAATAAGAAAGAACATATCGCTGCTGGAAAGTTAATGATGAATTTTGGTGGTATATTTGTTCATGTAATACACCTAACCAACTTAGTTGTTATTCAACGTTTGTTCAGTTGCTTGTACAAGACAATGGTAAGTTAAAATAATACTATATTAATAACCTTATATTATTCTCCACTTCATTGCGGAAATCAATAGCGAATTTAACTCGTTGCGCAAACGTCTCGGGGTCGTCCGCTTTAAACATCAGACGAATACGGGGGATGCTGGAATATAATCGACAACCTTTAAATAATATAATAAATCAGAGTATATTTCCGTGGATGCAAACTTATCAAAATATCATCATCAATCTTTATACTATTGAATATGATTCATTCATAATATATGAATTTTTTACATGTCGCCTTGCAAAATATGACGATCTGGTATTTCCCCTACTGTCTTAAACTTAATATCTAATAAAATTGATGTTAAATTATTCAAACTTTCGTGAGACATTATACTAAACTGATATATAAACACGGCTAAACACTCACGTATATACGTCCGGTGGCGGCACCGACTAGTTTCGAGCCCATCGGAGGCCCTTCTTCAGGATTATATATCAGTTTAAAATTGATGTTCAACATTACTCACTTAAACCTTCGTTTGGAGCCGTCCAATGCCATAACTTCCCATTTATCAGTAAGCTTATCAAAACTGTATATCGCTACATTGGTCCACTGGAATTAAACTATACCGTTAAATATCATCACATTTCATAAACCCAAAACCTTGTGATTTTACTTGAAAATTGTTACGATTTTTAAAATTGTAGGACACTCCTACGTTCTCAGATTTGTTAAAGAATCATTTTATAAAGTGTACCTCGTACAAGTTGTTAAGCATCTGTATGATATCTCCCGGTCCCCTGTTGGCGCCCTCCTCCTTGGGAATGAACGCGAGTCCGGGACAAGGGTAAAGTTCCCCTTCAATATTCCCCAGCGCCAGCCATTCCTCTGGAACCCTAGTTTGCAGGCAAATTGTACATTGAATAATTTTGTTCAAAGTGACGAATATTCGACAAAAGATAAGTTTTAAAAGCATTTTGGTCACGACAGCCTTTTGTTTGTAGATACGGATAACAGCTCATGAAGTCTCGGGGCCTCAATTTAAACGGCAAGAATACGAACACACTCAAGAGCAAATGTTTGGTCAAAGAAACGACAAAGGCGAGCCAACAGTTTGGAACATCATAAGTAGCGTTATCCTTATACATTTAACTTTGAATACTAACCTGCAATCAAAGTCCGTATTGTCGAATACCTCCAGGTCCAGTTTGGGGTATGTACTATAAAGACCGTAGCGCACGTCATTCTTTATGGGGTACTCCGATGGTGGGATCAGCCAGTAAGGTTGGATGCCCAGCTCACGGAGCATTTTCTAGTATATAAATAGAACGTACGATTACTACCCGTGTACGAAAAAATAAAACATAAAGGTTTTGACGTCGTAGTATATCTACTTGTAGCCAATTATACTTATGCCAACTTACGATTATTTACGCCTTACGATTATTGCTTAAAAATTACGCCAGTATAAATGTATACCTTGATATTAGAAGCTAGGAACTTCCTCCTAAGACGTTCGATCTTCACCAGCCTTGGCAATTCCTTCGGCAACACAACGCTCAAGAATTGCAGCTTTGGGACGAATGTTTCGAACGGAAATTGCTGCAATCAATCGTCGCTATAAATTAACAGTTTCGGTGCAAAATAATCGTAGTGACTTGAAGCGTGTTAAAATTTAAAGCTTCTATTGTATTTAAGAACGGATAGTTAGTCAATATCAAATGTTTTAAAACAGACCCGGGTCGATTTCAACTAGTTGGCACGTCGGTACTTTTATTCCTCACGTGCCAACTCGGCTCATGTAGTTCAGTGTAAAAACTTACGACGCTCTCGTCTTCCCTGTACGTGGTCCAGCGGCCCGGCGGCAGCAGAACCTTCGGCTTTTGCGGCTTGGGCAGGGAGATGAGCATCGGAGCCAATTTATCCGTTTTTGCCTATAAGTAATTAATAAAAAAAATTATGAAACTCTCTTAAGAAGAACTCTATCCTATAATATACGAATAGGGCCGAAGAACCAATAACCTAGTCTTTAACTGTACAAACATCTATTCAGCAGGTCATTCTAACAGGTCTTCTGCCATTCCTCCGCTATCCTCATCCAGTAACTTCCTGTTCCAAGTCTATAAAACTGACCTGTAGTATTAACTTCATTCTTTTCTTAGCGCACTGCTCTTTTGATGGTTCTTGTTTGAGCATATTCGCCACGAGCTCCGAGTAATATCCGCGTTTGGGGATAGCATCTCTTGTGGTATTATCAAACACCACATCGTGATATTTTATCTTTTTCTTCTTACTATACATGGCTTAAATTAATTTTAAACCTATTTATAATAATAAAATTAAGAATTATTTAAATATATTTAAAGCAAATTTAAATATTTTTATGTCAATATTCTGACATATTTGTTGCATATTTTCCAAGCTTTATTTATGGACAGTTAAATTTAAATATTTGTCTAATGACAGGAACAAAAGAGGTTTGTACAAATTTAAATACAAAAAAATCTTTATCTGTGGTTCCTAAAAATTAATTATCTCTGCCTACACCTCTTTGGTATTCTTTATTATGCGCATTACAAATAAAACAACTAAATAAATAATACATTACACTTTATTGTATAACAAAATTAATCGAAACATAATTTGCAGAATCAGAAATATATTAGTGCACCTTTCTTCTATTTTCTTTTTTCTAGAATGTTCTCCAACTGTAAAACAAACGTTAATTATGTAATTATTAAAATATACTTGTATCTGAGCCCAAAATCCCCGATTAAAAAAGTTGAAGATATTTTTAAACAAAGATTTCTGTCTCAGAAACCAACAATTACTCTTTATATATTATACCTTGGCAGTAACCACGTAATAAAGTAAACCTAACCTTTAGCCTCCACTGTTTAAATCGAAAATAATTTTGCTATCTTTCTCACACACTTTGAAGAAAACAAAGACAAAAATAGTGTTTTTATAAGTGTGTTAAAACAGTATCGGTAACATTGTCATTTTGTTCATATTCTTTTTAAAATATATAACACTTACTTCTTGATGCAAGGACCCTTCTCTATCAACTCCTCCTGCTTCTTATAGATACATTTTGTGTCAACAAAACCTAGCAGATCTGCGATCAGGTCGATGTCTTTGTATGACGGCTTCGCGCGCAAAATCTGACGCAAAGACAAAAACATTTTTTTTTTAATATTATAAGGCAATGGCCTGGAGTCACAGATGCGTTGATTATGTTTAATCGATGGAAGGGACGCATAGAAAAAGTTTGTTTTCCCTTCCTATGCCTCCCGTCAAATTCACTTTCTTTGACGGAAAAAAGAAAACATTATAAAAATTGAAAATTCATACTTTGATAGTGTTGAATTAAAAAAATTTAACGCTATTTTAGACTTTTAGAACTGTCTCTAATTACCAATCATCATTTCCTTGTTTTTATCACATGAATATGGAGGAGGTACATCGGAGTTTTCACTACCGCTATACCAAAATATTGTTATCTTTGTTATTTTAAAGAAAATTGGCGAGATGTCAATATGTCTGGATGGACTGTATTTCGGCAGTTTGGAGCATTACCTCGGTGGCGACGGCGGCGCGGTCGTCTATCGGCGGCATGTTCCAGAAGACGAAGCCGACCACAGTCTCGTCGCGCATATACATTAGTAGACCGCGCAGGTACCGGCTCTGATACTCGTTGCTCCTATAAAGAAACACATATTGTTATATTGAAGATATATCAGTAATTGCAGTGCACATATGGAAAGGCGATTGCTTGGAAATCACATCTTTTGCTTTGCTCCGATTTAAACACGCTTGTTGATGTTACGTGACAGTTAATTATTAGTTCGAATCTACACCGCCGCTACCAACAGCGCCAAAATGGCGAGTATCATATATGCACAAAATAATACGTCTTATAGCCAGTCCATTTACAAAGGGAATTTACTTCATCTTTATCTTTATGGAAAGTTTTGAATAGAATTGTTACGGTATTTATTAAAAAAATATTTGTTATACTTTTTATAACAGGGTCTGTCCCCTCCGCCGCCGCCGCCAGCTGGCGCCTGTGTCGCCTTGGCCGCCTCCTCTGCACACTGCTTGA